ATAGTCATTATTGAAATAAATTGAAATAAAAAAGCGAACATTTTCAGCATTAGGTAGAAAAAGCTTGCTTTCACACATCATTATTTATACTTCCTTGTGGAATCACATTTTTGACCTAATTCTTAAAACGGAGATATTTCCACCTATTTGATGTTAAGTAAAACTCAAGCACATTTCAGTTAATTTAGCTACTATTGTAGAATAACTTCCTAAGCTGCTTGGAGGCAAGCATGTACACTCTTCTAAACTGAGACAGCTTATGTTAGAGACCTGTAGAGCCAATATACAAATTCTGAACAAAAGCCTTCTGAAAACCACAGTAACATATGGTAATTGTACTTCATGGTAGGATTTCCATTATTTAAGATTTTAACAGTGAGTAAATAAAGAACATTTTAATGATTTCAAACTTCAGTATTGCTTCTGTAAAAGCTGGAAATACTTGACGACTCTCACAACTTGCCACCAGAAATATGAAAAGCAATTGTTAACACTTCAGTTATTCAGTCAAAGGCTTTGTCACAGCCATGAGATTAGGCAACAAAAAAGTCTCTAATCTGGATTTACCATTGCATCTTGTGCCAATGAAAATGCTCTTCTCCATGAGCTTGTCTGTTGCCCACTTAAAATTACTAGTAGCTTCCTAACAGTTCAATTTAGGATCCACACTTAGGCTCATTTACAAAAGCCAGATCACTGTAAAGTAAACTCTGAATTATTTCAGAGGACTTGGTAACCACTCTTTTGCCATCTTTTAAAAAAAATAATCAAAATCTGTGATTTTGGAAAAGATGGAAATATGCATGAGTCACCAACTACTGTCAAAGTGTGAAGAAAAGGGAGGTAATTTCTTCTTCCCTGTCTGCAATTGACCAGAGAGCAGAATTCATGTTTGAATACCATACTTTCTTAGAAGGGAATAAACATGAAAGAAGGAAAAATTGCATGAAATTAATTTATGAGTTAGAGATCCTAGACCAGAATAATACTGTTGCACTTTGGATTTCACTAAGTTTCTTTTTTTGTAGATAAAAAGAGAGTGAAAACAAACGAAGGGGATAATACTTAATTTGATCAACTGGGGGATTAAAAAAAATGTACATACAAAGTTGTCTGTTTGGGTTCAAACTCTGTCCAGAAATACCTTCTGCAACTCATTGAATTTGAAGTGATTTGCTCAGGTAAGCCAAGATGAGCATTTCACTCTTGGCATCAAACCCCAAAGTGCTTGCTATGAAGAACATATTTTCTCTAAACACTTTTAAGATATTATGTTGTCTATACTACCAAAAACTTGACAATTTTTGAGTTTACATTCTAGGCTTACGTTATACATGGGCAGGAGTTACTACTGTAAACATTAACTTATTCGATTTACTCTTTTTATAGAAATCTGATTTACTAGTTTTGAATGTTGCATGCTTTTAAAAAAAAAATAATAAAAATTACTCTGATTCAGAGGTATGTAATGAAATTCTCTCAAACCATAAGAGAAATGCACAGGAAATCACATTTATAAAAACTTTTACTATTAAAGGCACTGAGAATCTGGTTTTGTAAGTTTATTTCCTAAAGGGCACTAAAATCAGGATGCAAGCAAAACAAGAAAGTTGTTTTTCAAATGAGCCAAAATATCTAAGCAATATATGAAATGCTGAAGAATCTTTATTTCATTCAATTTAATACAATATAAAACTATTTAAATTACTTTAATGCACAATAGCATATACTCAGTTATATTTTAATCTAACAGAACTGAAAGAAAGAATGTTTGCAAGAAAGTGTGTCCTTATTAAAGTAGCATGAAGTATTTCAGAAACTTGACAATTCATTCTTTCTATAAACAATTGTTTCTGTTTGGCACAGAGGAAAAAAATAACTTCACAGTTACAGAAAAACACAAGTAAACCCAAGATTATGTTGAATCAATTTTATTTTTCTTATTATAAAGCAGACAGCAATAAATGCCACAAGAATAGAATCACAGAATAGTCTGGGTTGGAAAGGACCTTTAAAGGTCCAACTCCCCTGCAGGGAGCAGGACATCTTTAGCTAGACCCACTTCTCAAACTTGTCCAGGTCCTTCTGGATGAGATCCCGTCCCTCAGGTACATCAACTGCACCACACAGCTTGGTGTCATCTGCAAACTTGCTGAGGGTGCACTCGATCCCACCGTCTGTATCATTGATGAAGACATTAAACAGCACTGGTCCCAATATAGACCACTGAGGGACACCACTCATCATTGATCTCTATCTGGACATCGAGCCGTTGACCATTACCCTCTGGATGTAGCCATCCAACCAATTCCTCACCCACCGAACAGTCCACCCATGAAATCCAATTTAGAGAGAAGGACATTGTGGGGGACCATGTCAAAGGCCTTACAGAAGTCCAGACAGACAACATCCATAGCTCGTCCCTTGTCCACTGATGTAGTCACTCCATCACAGAAGGCCACTAGGTTGGTCAGGCACGACTTGCCCTTGATGAAGCCATGCCGGCTGTCTCAAATCACCTCCCTGTCCTCCATGTGCCTTAGCAGAGCTTCTAGGAGGATCTGTTCCATGATCTTCCCAGGCACAGAGGTAAGGCAAACAGGTTGGTAGTCCCCAGGGTCCTCCTTTCTACCCTTTTTGAAAATGGGTGCAACGTTTCCATTTTTCCAGTCCCCAGGGACTTCACCTGACTGCCATGACTTCTCAAATATCATGGAGTGGCGTCCCTTCCAACCGCTAACATTCTGCGATTCTGTGATTCCATCAGGACTCTGGGATGCATCTCATCAGGTCCCATAGGCTTATGTATATTCAGATTCCTCAGGGGGTCACAAAATGATCTTCTCCTACAGTGGGAGGGACTTTGCTCCCCAAGTCCCCATCCTGTGGCCCATCCACTCGAGAGATGCAGGAAGACAGGTTGCCAGTGAAGACTGAGGCAAAAAAGTTGTTGAGTACCTCACCCTTCTCTCCTTATCCATTGTTACCAGCTTGCCAGTCTTGCTCATCAGGGGGTTACACTTTCTTTAACCTTTTCTGGTTGACATACCTGTAGAAGCCCTTCTTATCATTCTCTTCATCCCTTGCTAAGTTCAGCTCCAGCTCCACCTTGGCCTTCCTGACCCCACCCCTACACAACCAAGCAGCATCCCTATACTCTTCCCAGGATACCTGTCTCTGCTTCCACTGCCTGTGCATTTCCTTCTTGCCCTTTGGTTTGACCAGCAGGTCTCAACTCAGCCAGGCCAGTCTCTTGCCTTGCTTTCCCGATTTCTTACACCTGGGGATCGAGAGCTCTTGCACTCTATGGAAAGTGTCCTTAAAGATCTGCCAGCTCTATTCTGCACCCTTGTCTCTGAGGACGGATTCCCAGGGGGTCCTATTGACTAGCTCCTTGAAGAGTGGGAAATTTGCTTTCCTAAAATTCAGGCTCCTGACTTTACTCTTTGCCTGACCCATATCCCTCAGGACTTAGCTCCATCAGCAGCCCAGGCTGACTCCAATTTGACATCACCAATTAGCTCACTTGCACTGGTGACAATCAGGTCCAGTGTTGCATCCCCTCTAGTAGCGCTGTCTATTATCTGGCTTAGGAAGTTAACCTCAATGGTTCCAGAAGCCTCATGGATTGCCTGCAGCTCGCTGTGCTTCTTTTCCAGCAGATGTTGGGGTGGTTGAGGTCTCCCAGCAGGACAAGAGCCTGCAAACACAAAGCCTCCTGTAGCTGGAGTAAGAAGGCTTCATCCACAGGCTCCCCTTGATCAGGCAGCCTGTAGTAGACACCACCCACAAAGGTTCCCTTTGTTGCCTTGGTCTCTAGTACATACCCATAAGCTTTCAACCTGTTTGTGGCTGTTCCTCAGACAGCTCTTCACAAGCTATCCATTTCTTGATGTAGAGGGCAATGCATCCCCCCTCCTTCCTCACCTGTCTCTTCTGAACAGCCTGTAGCTATTGATAGCCATGCTCCAGTGACGGGATTCATCCCACCAAGTTTCAGTAATGGCAACCACGTTGTAGTTTCCAGCAGCACCATGGCTTCCAACTCCTCCTGTTTGTTGCCCATACTGTGTGCATTGGTGTAAAGGCACTTCATCTAGGCTGTGGGCCATGCCAGCTTCTTAGAGAAACACCACTTAATTGCTATGAGGGATTTCACTGGTGTTTCCCTGTTAGTTCACACTACCTCAGGAGCCCCTGGCTCATCTCCATAAAACTTCAAGTGCGCTGCAGTGTACCCAGCACACCTCAGAGCAACAGGCTGAGGGCCCTCGCTAGCACCCCCTCCCTCTAACCACGGTGCATCATCACACAGCTTGACACAGGCACCGTGACAATAATTCACTCCTTTTATTGAATTAAAAATTTGATGGGATGCAGATTATCAGTAATCTTGGAAGAAGTAGTAAAAAGGCAGAACAAAGAGGATGCAGAATAAAGAGGTTCTTTCCTTTTGAAGAAATTCTAATCCTCCCATTGGCCAAAGACAAACAAAGAAACTAGTTTCCTTCTTAGTGTATATAGTACTATAAAGATATTTATCTATATTGTTCTCTTTCACTGTAACCTCAGTACAAAAGTTATTTTAAAAGGTATCACCAAATTACCCCTTTGGAGTGTCAGGAAAGAATTCATACTTGCTGAGGCCTACCTGGTAGTAGATAGAGGGTCTAGGAAAGCTGTCTTTCTTTTGGCGTTAACACAAAACAGAAATGAAAATTAATATGACAACACCAGAGGTGGACTCAAGACTCCCTAATCACGTGGTATAACAGGAATGTTTATCCTCAAGTGACTGGTCATATAAGGGAACTTTGCAATGATAGTGCTGGACCTGCTGAAATGTATTAACAAAAGCATTTACTAACTAGAAAATGAGCCTTTAAGAGAATTCTTCATAACTGTGACTGTCACTTCTTGCCAAGCATCCAAATTAAAACAGAAAACATTCTAAAACAAAAATGTTAATCCCACTCCAACAGGAAGAAAAGAACACTTACAGTGAGGCTCATAGGGAGGAGGAGGATCACCACAAGGAACACACTCCATGTCTTGAAAGCCTCCAAGCTTAGTCTTCCTATAAAATCTAGAAGACAAAGGAACAAAAAAAACCAGTTAATTAAAACCAGCTATTTTTTCCTCACAAAATTAACCAGGTGTTTTAACAAAACCCTATATAACTGCAATCTATCAGGAAATAGAAGAAAATAAAAGTAAACAAAAGTACATTAGATAATAATCAACAGTACAGCAGTAGATCTAAAGTGAATTGAGGAAAAATTCTAAATCTGTTAGTCCAAATGTATAGTTACTAATCTTATATTCATATAAGAAATAAACAATTCTGGAAATTTCAGAAATCAATATCCTGTTTTCCACATAGACCACAACATACAAGACAAGTAAGATGAACTTAGAAAATGCAAGCTTATTTACACATCTAAAAATAAAAAAGTGAACTGATTAATCTACATAACTCTAAGAGAAACAAGATATTACAAGGTAATTATCACCACTAACAGCACATAACGCACCAGACATCAGTGCTTTCTAGTTAAAATCTGTAAGATATCCTCTAGCTCAGAGAACAAAAAAAATTAAAACAGTCACTCAAATTGGTTCATTTATGTACCTGTACAGAAGGGCATCCTGCCCCCCCCCTCGAGTTTAGCATGCTGTGTGACAAATCTTGAGAAAATAAGATTATTCTGATTGTTTTGTGAATAGCAAAACAGTAAAAATGGTTTTTCAGAATTGTGTTTTAACAAACCAACAATCCTCCTCTGACCCTTCTCCTCCAGGAAGATCTTCACTACCAAACAAAATCACAATGTGCATGGACTGTGAATGCAAATTAACTAAGTGACCACATGACTTCCAATCTACATTACCCAATTCTCCACTTTGTTTTTCTATTCTCGCTTAAACATATACTTTAAAAATTCTAGATAGCAAGCATTTCAAGGTATAAAAAAAAATTGATATTGTAAACAGAAGTATCAGTCAGATGGTTTAGGTAAGTAATAGCAATGGGAGGTCACAATCAGTAACAGGTGAAAAATAAAGTAAAAACCTAAAGCAAACAGCTACTCATTCCTAAAGAAATTAATGCAAAAACATTAAAAAAAAAAAGGCTGTCACACCCAAGGAGACATTTTATTCTAAAGACCCTTCAAGAACTTTACTACTGAGTCTATGTTTGAAGAGTTTACTGACTACAGTGATAGGCAGAAGCCTACATTTCTGAACCAGGGAACAAGTGTAGTATCAAATGAAAAAAAGGAACTTTAGAGTGTTACATTTCAAATTTGTATGCAAGTGTGACATCCTCTAAAGAACTTCTCTACAACAGCTCCCTAATCAAGTAGGTCTGTCTGCCTTTCAACCAGTCATTATTACTAAGCCAGAATCAATAGCTGTGGTCTGTTCAAGACGAGTACATGAATTAAATGTTTTCTGTAGTGGTAGTGGCACATTAAATAAAAGGTACTAACTCTACTGATGTGTAAATTACTAACACTGCAAATGCCATTAAAGTATGAAAACCGTATCAGCTAAAGCAAACAGCTTTTCAACTGGTCAAGAAACTCATGCTTTAACAGTGTGAACAGAAACAGATTCATAGGCTGTAAGACTGAAGGTGCCACTGTGATCATTTACTCTGAATGAAATGTGTTAATATTTGTTCTTAGTTGACATGCTCACTGTAGTGTTTTGAAGCCGAACAATATGGAACGGCATGTTGGAAACCCATGCAAAACAGAAATAAAGATGATTGCTGAGAGGTAAAACATTAGCTAAACCCTTTGGCTTGGCTGGCTATATCCTCCATTCACTTAGGTTGCGTCTAAACTGATGGACAGGCATGAGTGGTGGCATGTTCTGCAGATCTGTTCCCCAAAACATCCAGACCAGATGATCTGCGGCTCCTCTACTCATGACTCCCTCCCTCCTCATGTTTCCAGCTTCGCTGCCAGTAAAAGCAGGTTGTGGCAACAACTCTTATTTTAACACATACTCAACATGCATATCTAGAATACATTCTAGACCAGAAAACTAAGAAGCATACCCAGGTCTCCCAGTTTAGATTTACCCTTAATTCATGTTTTATTCTGGCTTCTTTTTTGTTCCTTTCTCATCTTTCAAAATTTAGCTTATGTTGTTTACATAACAAGACAAAAAATTTCTCCCTGCTGACAGCCAACTAAGCCCTACAATACATATATATTAATATGCAGTAAGAGCATAAATCAATCTACCATGTGGCTGCAGGTAGTATCAAAAGTGGTTGTGAGTAACATCTAACACCTGGGGCTGCACCTTATCATACTGTAAACTAATATTAGTTACCAAAGCTTTACTAAGTGTTTTTAAATGAGAAGACCTCACTTATGGCTTGAGAGGAATGACTGTAGGAGCTTCAACAATGTTCAGGTATTTGATAGCTGGTATTAAAAAAAGTATACAAAAATAAATAAAATAAAATAGCTGAGAAATATATAGGAAATAAATGTATGAACTTTTAAGCATCTCTGGAATATATACCCTGAAAATACAAAGGCTGTTACAACTGCAGATCAGTTCTCATAACCTATTCCTATCAATTAAACTAGCAATCCATAATTCAAAAAAGCACCAGAAATGCCTTTTAACAAATTCATGGTAGGCATTTACAATAGTGGTACTTGGCCACAATGTAAAGAATAGCCTTTTGGAGATCTTAACATTTAATACTACAGAGAAGATCAGCAACAGAGATCTGGGATGACTGTACAACAAACTAAGCACAGGTCTTGGCTTATAACAGCAGTTTCAGTGTCTCCACACTGTTACAATTTGTTCCAAAACAATTCTTTCAGATCCATTTACGATTCTCAGCTGGGATCATGCTCTGTGAATTTACTGACATGATGAAGGAAATTCAGGAGCATGAACCACAGCCACTAATTTTGATCTAAAAATATACGTGTATGAGAATTATTAGACACTGACCTAAGGAGGGGAAAAAAGGCAAGCAAATAATGTGATCAGTCTTCAAGAAGGTAACTGTGTGTGTTTCCAAATGTTTAATTCTTTATGACAATGAAGTAAGTCATCGGTAACACTCAGTATTTTGAAGTATTTTGCTCAGGTGCTGCATAGACAATACTCTCACAGATCAGGTAGGTAATTATCAAACCATTTTTATAGATGAGATAATTACAACTGCAATTCTGAAATTACGTGCTCAGAGCATACAGTAAATTATCAGTCATAAGTAAATCTTACAGTCAAGATTAGAACCTAGGACCTTCATACATACATAAAGGATACAAACATTTATCCAGAAAACATGAACAAGCAAATGTTAACACAAACTAGTTTTGAATTTGTTCGAGTCTCATCTTCAGAAACGGACTTACCCTGGTAAACAGTCTCCACATAGTGCATTGCTGGTGGCAGAACAGTTGGCCTTCTGAAACCGGTTAACTAAAGCACAATCCAGACAAGGCTTGCACTTCTGAAAGCCCCAGTCTTCCTTGAATCTGTTTGGCCTGCATGTCATGCACTGTGCATCCTCCCCATATCCAAAGCCGCATTCCTGTAGGGATTAACAAGAAATAGCAAGCTATTCAGTTACTGAAAGCGTGAACAAGAAGAGAATGCTGGGATAAAATGAAGACCTAATGTAATTATTACTGAGAGTAGGTCTTTCTAGAGACAAAAGACATCCTTTCAGCAAGTTCAAATGTGTCTTCCACTGCTAATCATCTCCCTTACTTCTATAAGTAAAACTTAGTCATCCACTTTATTCATTAAACCACTGTGTATTTGAATGATAAAGGGCTTCAAGGACTCCCACAGTTTCATTATTACTAGCTTATGGCAGAATTATTGAGCTGTCTGTTTTTTAATTAGGTCAGTCATGTGAAAGTGCAGAAACTGGGACAAGTGAAGTATAAAGGCACTTACTCAGTTACAAAAACAGCAAAGGAGCACTTGGATATTAAGGTTCATAGCTAAGGTGAACAAAGTTAATTGCCGAAGAGAGCGCACTGATCTTCAAAGGCTTAGAACTTCTGTTACCAAATAAAACAGAGCTGGTTAATGACCATCAGCTAGGCACGAAACGTTGCTTAGCCACTAACAATTTCAGAAACTCAATCCGCTGCAGTTCTAACAGTTCTTAAACTGTTAGAAAAGTTTAAGAGGTCCACAGATCACAGGGAGACATGATATTTTACTATACAAGGAATATTGTTATGGTTGGTTATTTATCCCAGATTTAGCTGTTTAAAGACATTATTTCTACTCATTTGTAAAAGGACACCTACTAAAACTGACAGGCTGCAAAGAGAAACACTTCACCCAACAACATGTAATAGTTTGGGAACTGAATTCTACAAAATGATTATCAAGAACTATCAATCTATTTCATTTTTATGTCGCTATTTCTTAGACTTACCAAGTTACTAAGACCTACTATTCCCTCTTCTCACCTGAATTTCCTATTAATGTTTTTGCAGTACTTTGGAGTTAGATTTGATGCATTAGTGACACACCACAAAATGGCAAGAGGGATACAACAAATTGGTGGAAAGGACTTATTGGGAAGGGAGTAGGTGGGAAATGCACAATGTGGGGATTTCATTCTCCACTATGTGGTCTCAGTGGAAGAATTGGGCATCTTCCCACTGGAAACAGGCAGGAAATCTTCAAGTGGGGCAACTTAAAAGAAGGTTTCCACCAGTTCCCTTCACAACACGTGCATGTTCGATACATGCAAATAATTTTTTTCAAAGTCACCCACCTAAGCAAGTCTGCTGCAGTAAAAAGCTTTGAACCTTACAAATGCACTCAAGGATTCTCCAAGGTTTTGCATTGAGATAGCATCTATGGAACGAGCTATGTGATGGGGTTGGCCAATATGTACTTCATAGTGCCCCTAATTTGCAACGATAAAGTAAAAATAAAGTACTTCAGATTAATTTTTACTGGACATTCTGAGAATTTTCAGTTTTCTTTTATGTTAAGAATATCTTTACTGTCCTCTGAAGAACAACAAGCACTCAAGAACACAGAAAATTATGATTTTAAGAAAGCAACTACAATGGACACTAAAACAGTCTTCTTCCTCTGTCTCTAGATCCAGGAATTTAAAAAAAAAATTAAAAAAATCAAACTTTTTTTTTTTTTAGCTGAAATGTGGTTTCTTACTATTGATTATTTAGATTAAGGAGCAGACAGACAAATCATTGTAGTTAGTAACAAAAAAGCATACTACAGTTTCATACACTGTACAGCATGCTCCTCCTGTGAGACAGTGACCCTAATAAAGCTGGTAGGCATGAGGGGATAAAAATACTTACTTCAGCCATAGAACATTCTCTACCATTTTATTTCAAACCTACCGGTTTCTGCTAGGAATCAATGCCAAAAGAATGGAGGTTCTAGCAGTTCTATTTCACGCTACCTATAAATATCTCAATAGGTTCTGTTTTACTCACAATTTCACTTATGCAATTCTAAGACTGTATACAAAGCTACACGATTACCACCAGGGACTGGAGCCAGTCTAACTTCTATTAGGAGACTTTTCTCTTCCTAAGTCTAAACAAACTTTTTCATTGAATCTCATTATTCCTTAACACATTCTTTCTAATATGTACCCTTTACTCTTTTGATTTAGATCATCCAAATAGTAGTGTTATAGGATACACTATATACCTTAGTCAAACCATGTATATTCGGATCTGTCGATAAATCACTTTGAATCAGTCCCTCCCAAGTCCTAGTAAGCTTCCAAATACACGGCTTAAATTAACTTAATTATAAGTTTTCCTTTCCAGACTACCTTTGAAGTTTCTGATCAAAAACAAGCAAACACCAGGAAATAAAGTTAGAATTAAATGCTTTCAACTAGTTGTTTTTAGCTCTATCAGATCTGCTTTGCTATAGTTGGATGTATGGACACATCTTAGTGGTCCTTTGCAATGTGGAATGGTTTACTTTAAAGCTATAAAAATGGTGGATGTAATATAAAGAAATCTTCAGCCCAAGGAATTTACAGTCTCCAGTCTTTTCAAAGATGGCTTCTAAGTCCTTGCCAGGAATTCTGCAGATCTAATCCATAACAACTACAACTTTATGTATGTGCTTTTTATGTTCACATAATGTCTGAGGTAGCTAACTGCCTGGCAGGTGCAAATAAATATTTAAGCTTGTAAACCAGGCAGGACTTCAAACAGATCTGTAGTCATAATTAACCACATTCCCAAAACTGAAGGATATGATCTGGACAATGGATTCAAACCCTTTGAAATCTTGGACTTCATAATTTAGCAGTCCAGCAAAGATATAAACAATTGACTGTTCATCTTTCATCAATACATGTGCAAAACTGATGTGCACCAATTTTCTTTGTGCTGTATTTACGAAGTTGTCAAGTTATGTGGCTGATGAGATCTAAATAGTTCCCAACTCTCCTGATCCCTTCTATCCTCCCACTCATCTTTTTAAAAGAGGGCTCATCTCCTGTGGCAGTTCGCCTCAGGACTGCAGAAAAGAGAAATAAAATGTGCAACCTCAGTTAGCTAGATTTTAGAAAAACATTTTCCATTTTTGTGCCAGAAAAAATAAAAGAGAACTTTTAAATATACACTGTATTTTCCCTGTTGCGAAGCATACTGTGAAGAACACAGCCCACTCTTCCCTTGCCATGTGCCCTTTTCAATGCTACCAGGTAACATTAATGAAAATTTTATCTCAAATAAGACACATATAAGCTATGAAAACTCAAACACTAATTTAGAAAACTGAATTTAAATTAATTTTTTAGAAAATCCTAAAAATTCAAATGCATCTCTATTTTCTGGGTATTTATACAGCTTTCACTATCACAGTATTGTGACATCTCATTACCTTAAATGGATGTATCCCCAGAACAACTTTGTTCAGAAGTAGGTTTCACTAAGGTATCAAGTGAGATGACTGGTCAAGGCCACCTAGGAATCTGTAGCAAACTAGTTAACTAAACACATAACTTATTGTATGTTTTTAATACTTTTAGCTTGAAACTAATAGAGACATCTCAAAGTACCCCTTGGCAGTGTTAACATTTTCTTTCAGTATATACTACCCAAACACTGATTCAGAAAGAACAACCAAAAGCATAGCACACTATAAAGGGTAATGGAGTTGAATGCTATGTTTTTTCCCTAAAAGTTTAATGCAACACAAAGTAAAGGAACAGTAAATTAGATTTTAAGCATTCTTTCAATTAAAATAACCTCAAATTTAATTCAAAAAATGCTTTCAGGCATTATTATGATCATAATCTGCAAGTATATTTTAGAATTTGTTTCTAGTTCTACTGATTATCCACAACCTACATGAGTCCCTAGGCAGTACAGCACAGAGAAGTTCCACCTAGGCCGCGATGATTACAAGAATATTTGGGTATTCTCAAGAAAAAGCTTTCCAGTCATTAAGACAGTTTCAACTGATGTCAGGTCACAGAACAGATTGCAGCACTACACTGGTGCTGGTAGTTTTTAGTAATACCTTTGAGTATATGGCCTTGTTTTAGCTTCCAGAAGTACCTTAGGCTGTGGATCAGCCTTATCTAGAATACAATAGTCAGCTGTATCTATCAGCAGAAGTCCCTGAGCAGGACAGGCTGCAACAGTGTGCTGCAAACATTGATTTAGCTGCTGTGGCAAAGCACAAAGTTAGTGTCAGAAGAGTTTCATGCTAGTGAGTAAGATTTGACGTTCCTGCTCCAGCTTCCAGGAGACTGACCCAGAAACAGATGTTAGCCTCTCTCGAGCTGAGATATGGCAGCCTTCCTCACAAGCAGCTCACTTGCTTTGAAGAGTTACAGAGCGACTGCTAAACACGGTAGCAGCTGCTCTCAGTAACTTCACCAGGACAATACATCAGACATGGCACACCTCCTTTCATGTTTTGTACAAGGACTGCTACATTCAGGAGTAGCTTCAAACAGTACCTTCCTGTTTAATTCACAATTCCTTTTCTGAGCCACATGCAGGTCTCCTTTTCCTTCATCATACAGCTGGTGCAAGGAAGCAACCTATGATATGTAGCGCCACTTTAGCAACCATCAGGCCACCTCGGTCCCACAGGCTCGCTGTAAAGCAGCAGTGTCTTGGTAATGGTGTTTATCATCATGTATTTGGTAGCAGTGCTGGCTTAAGCCACTCTCCATTTCACTGCTGCTTTTTCTTCCTTGCCCTTAACTGTACTGTTACAGCTGATTATGAGGCTGAGCTGTAGAGGACTGATCCAGGTTTTAAGTGATCAGTTCAGTGATCTGTTCCATAGTACACCCTAAAAATCTACTGTGACAGCACTAACTGCACAGGTAGGGCACCGTGGCAAGAACTTAACTATTGCCAAAACTATCATTTCAATGTTTCTGAACCACAACCTCAGATGTGACCTGTTGACAAAACAATCCAGAATTGCAGTTAAAGTTCTGAGATGCAATATAAGCTTGATAAGGCTGAGATATGGATTGTTTTTTCATATATAAATAAAAAAAATACATGGAAGCTATAGAGAGTTATAATTTTTTTTTTT